GGGGAGGGAGAAGGCAGGCTGCTGCGAAGCAGCCTGTGCCCACAGTGGGTCCACGAGCAGAGGCCCGGCTCTTACTACATTTAAACTGGACCTGGCGGGAGCACCTTCCCTTATCGACTAATCACACAGTACAAATTGCATTGACTGTGTGATTAGCTAATTACCTACCTCTTAACATCCTTACTGGTGAGGCCACATCTGGAGTATCGTGTCCAGTTCTGGGCCCCCCATTACAGAAAGGATGTGGGTGCAGTGGAGAAAATCCACTGGAGGGCAACAAAAATGATGAGGGGGCTGGAACACATGACTTGTGAGGAGAGGCTGAGGGATTTGGGCTTATTTAGTCTGCAGAAGAGAAGAGGGAGGAGGGATTTGAGAGCAGCCTTCAACTTCCTGAAGGGAGGTTCCAAAGAGGATGGAGAGAGGCTGTTCTCAGTAGTGACAGACAATCACGAAAGCTGCTCTGGCTATAAAGGTTGCATGTGAAACTTGAGTGTTCTGTTTTACTGCTCTGATTCCTCAAGACCTGAGTGTTTCTCCTAGGCCCAAAACTGAACACAAGGTTGAGAGGACATGCTGTTAACATACCGTAGATTCAAGGAGCGCAATCTCTTAGCTGAACAAAGAGAAGGTTAAGGAGTGGCTTGGTCACCGTTTATAAATGCATACCGGGGGAACAAATATTTGATAATGGATTTTTCAGTCTTGCTGGCAAAGGTAAAACAGAAGCCAATGGCTGGAAATTGAGGCAAGACCGATTCAGATAGCAAATAAGTCCTACATTTTTAACAATCATTTAGTTCACCATTGGAACAACTTATCATCAATTCTCTGTCACTGGAAATTCTTTAACCTAAGATTTTATGTTTTTCTAAACCATTCAAACAAAGTGTTTGGAGGAACTTCTGTGATCTGTGTTATGCAGGAGAACAGACTCACTCAGGGTACATCTACACAGTTGAGCATAGCTTGACATAAGCTACACAATTTGAGCTACCGTATTTTCCGGCGTATAAGGCGACTGGGCGTATAAGACGACCCCCTAATTTTCTAGTTAAAAGATAGGTTTTCGTCTTATACTCGCCGTATAAGACTACCCCCCCTTAAGAGGCCAACTGGCAGCGCCACAGCGCCCCTCCGCCTCCCTGGCTTTGCTCCCGGTGTCCCTGGTCTGCTGGAGACGGTCCCCAGAAGACCAGAGGCACCGGGAGCAAAGCCGCAGCCGCAGGATGCCCCGCCGCCGGCTTCCCCCGAGGCCTTGCAAAGCCGCATACCCGGCGTATAAGACGACCCCCGATTTTGGGGGGATGTTTTTTAACATCAAAAGTCGTCTTATACGCCGGAAAATACGGTAGTTTCCCTCCAGGGACGGGTGAGGAGAGTTTCCAAGGCGCTGCTCCGCTTCTTCCTGGTCTGCAGACCGGGGAGCCGCGGAGCAGCTTTTCTCGCCCCGGAGTACACGGGCGGCGGGACCGCGAGGTCCCGCAGTCTGTGTTCTCCGGGGCGAGAAAAGCCCCGGTGTATAAGACGACCCCCGATTTTTGGGAGATGTTTTTTAGCACAAAAAGTCGTCTTATACGCCGGAAAATAGGGTATGCAAATTGCGTAGTTTATTTCGAGAGAGCACCAAATTTCAAAATAGGTTGTCTAAGCAGTACTAATTTCAAAAGAGAGTGCTATTCTGATGAAGCCCTTAATCCTTGTGCAACAAGGTTTACAAGATGTCAGAATAACAAGCCCGTTATTTTGAATGCATTTCGAAATAACGGGCTTGCTTTTACGACATGCAGAAAACTATTTTGGGATAACAGACTTGATCCTGAAATAGTGCCACTGTGTAGATGTACCCTAGATAATCCCAGAGCTTGATTTCAAATCATTTTTGTCAGAAAATACTAGGAGAAAATACAAATGAAACAAACATTTTTATTGCTCAAAAATTTTCATGGGGAAAAAAATGTTTCCCTGATTTTGACCAGCCCTAATTATATGGCTTGTGTAAATTCTTAGGGCAATTCATTCTGTAACTGAAAAATAAACCCTGTCATGAGGCTATAATGATACCAGAGACTAAATCCCTTCTTTAAATGCAAAAACTCACCTCATTCACTGTGGAGCCATGGTAGGTACCTTCATCATAATATCAGAGTATCACCTGACAGATTATACTTTTATAACAACTGTCCATTAGCAATACTGCTTGTATCAATTAGCGGCCTGATCCTGCCTCTTTTCCTCTGTCCGTAAAAAACTTCCGGGAGACAAGCTTGCATAGGTAAAAATTATATCCTACCCCTTCCCAAAATTTCAGTTATATTTAGGACAAATAATAAATATTTATGATTTTTAAAATGCAGGGCCCACCTTGCATAGCTCAGTACCTGTAGAATCAGTGAGAACTAGAAAATAGAAAAAGATTGGAAACCTGGAATCCTAGAATGCTAGAGTTGGAAGGGGCCTCGAGAGGTCATCAAGTCCAGTCCCCTGCCCTCCCCGCAGGACCATCCCTCTAGATCATCCCTGATAGATGTCTGTCCAACCTGCTCTTAAATATCTCCAGTGATGGGGATTCCACAACCTCCCTAGACAATTTAGTCCAGTGTTTAACCACCCTGAAGTTTTTTCTAATGTCCAACTTAAACCGCCCTTGCTGCAAGAATTACTTTATGATTTCAGCAGTTTCACAGCCTGTCCTGCTCTTGTAAAGCTTATACATTTTATGCTGCTTTGAATGAATTCACTTCTTTGAGGGATAAACCTGTGCCATGTGAATCCCAATGCCATAGGTTGGAAAACTGATCAAGGAAGCAGCCTCTAAAAGTAATCTCAAAAGGGTAACGCTGGAGCTTGGAGGGAAGAACCCCTGCATTGTGTGTGCCGATGCTGACTGTAAGTATTTCTCACTATTGTCATTCAATCATTTCTAGCCTCAGTGGCCAGCACAGCACTAGTGACTCTGCTGTAACCTCACAGGGCCCCAGCAGAGGGCGCAGTGTGGTCCAACTTGTCTCAAAGCCTGGCCAAGACTGCTTTGCAGGATGGCATGCTACGCAGCTCCCTGCACCAGGCACGTGTTTGGCTCTACAGCACGTTTGTCACTAGCCACATGTGGCTGTTTGGCCAGTTGAGTGTGGCTAGCTGGCTATAGCAGTCGTCTGTCAGTTCACCTTCTACCTACAACCATGACCTTGTAAACCTCACTCTTCATCATTATTGCTCATACCATGCCTCTGATGGGCAATAGGCAATGAAGACCAAATCCCTACCACATGGGATCAGGACTAAATTCCGCCATCCTTAGTGAGTCTGCTCATGGGCAGTAAGGTACTACCACACTGTGAGTAAAGGTGACAGAATTGGGCCCGTAGGCCCAGGTCTACACTAGGGCTTTATTTCAAAATAACCCCCCTTAGGTCCACACTACCCAAGCCTGTCCTTTTGAAATAAAGGACCACTGATTTTGAAATCTGTACTCCTGCTTTCCTCACGGAATAACGCTAATTTTGAAATAGTTATTTCGAAATAATGGAACGGAGGATGCTCTGGTGCCACCCTTTTGAAATCACTACTCCCCAGAGTCATTCAAACTAATTACTTCCCAGGGTTTCCTGGGGCTCTAAGTCGAGGTAGCACGTCCACATTAATGGAGCCTGCCTCGGATTCATTTTGAGGCTTCCCCATAGTGAGGTCATGCTATTTTGATTTTGTTATTTCAAGAGTTCTTAAATTGATTTCAACTATTTTGAAATATTTTCTTCGCTAAGACGTGTGCAACAGGTGGGAGGATGGTGGTGCAGACTGTCAGAAGGTGTGGTCCGGAAAGGCCCAATGTTTTGAAGCTTGCTTTCTCCATAATTTTAAAGGCTTCCTTGAAATGAGTTTTGAGGAAGCATTGAGGGGGGAGCCGGTAATGAGGGAGTTGCAACAAGTCTGGTTAATTTCTGGTTTTAAGTCAGTAGAACCCCTCACTGTATGTGCTGACCTTTCCTTTCCAGTGGAGTTGGCGGTCGAATGTGCCCATCAAGGAGTTTTCTTAAATCAAGGCCAGTGCTGCACTGCTGCCTCACGAGTATTTGTGGAGGAGCAGATCTACCAGGAATTTGTCAAGCGCAGCGTGGAGTATGCCAAGAAACGATTCATTGGAGACCCATTCGATGCCAAGACTGAACAAGGGCCACAGGTAATTATGTGCTTGAGAGTAGTTTTCTGTTTTCCTTGTGCGAGCGTCGTTCACATGCGAGCATGGCCCCAGCGGAAGTCCTGTGTGGGTGACTAATATGTCATTTATTGTTTGTTTTTGTTTTTCTCTCTGTTTTAAACATACATTAATCATGATGGTTGACATCAGCTCTTTCCACGAGTGAACTGCAAGTTTGATGATAAAGCAATTTGCACAAGTGGGTTGCCCTATTGCATACTAATGCAAAACATCATATGGCCCAGGGAGTGATTTGATTTGATTTTATTTGGTGCAGGCAGAGGGCTGCAGCTGCAAATGTGTTCTAATCTCAATCTCTATATACATTTTTTTCCTGTGGGATGACATCATCACGTCACTCTGCATCCACAGGAGCCAAGTCCTACCCACTCCCAGCCTGGTCCTCCCCAGGGCCCACGTAGAGAGGTGGGGCTCCCAGCAGCTGAACGATAGCTATCCCCGGCCTAGCTCACCCCAAGAGATTGGGGCTGGTGTGGCCTTGGTCCTGGTCCTCCCTGGTGGCCAGGGGTGGGGGGGGGGGAGCCTGGGTTGGGACAGCCTCGGACCCTCCCTGCGGCTGGGATTGAGTGGCCTTGCCCTTGGGCCCTCCCCAGCCAAGACGGGGGTTGGCGAGCAGGGAGCGAAGCCCCCTAGTTCAGCTATAAAATAGTAATGGTGTTTGGTCACGGGAGGTGTAATCTGTAACAATGGAGCACTCAGCCCCTAATGCACAGAAGGATTTAAGCAAAGTCGGGAAAAGGCGGAATGATGCCAGGCTGACACAGATATCAGCCTTGACAACATTTTGGGCTTTTACACCCAACATTTTTCTAATCCCATTTTTCTATGGAAGCCAGAAAGATCCATGATTGAGGCTAGTGTTTGCTCTTCTCCTAGGTCAGCCAGTGTTTGTTTTTGGCTTTTATTTAAAAAAAAATATCTTAACAAACCAAGAGCACCCCAGAACTTGTGCTCTGCCATAGGCAAATGCGAAAATGCCACTTCAGAAAGGTTCACATCTTGTTCTAATTGTGGAATCCATAATTAGAGCCCTGCCGATCTGTGGATATCTGCTTTATATCCGCGAGTATCCACACTGGCAGATGTGGATGGGAGTGTCCGCAGCTCATTCTGTGGGGATAATCTGCACAGGGCTCTATCCATAACTTTCTATTTGTTTTTTCCCAGCACACATGAAAGGCCTAGGCCATTGCCATGGTAACCCTGTGTGAAGTAGGCAGGTTCTGCTTGTACAGATAGAAGCTCCTAAATCTGGGACTCTCTGGTCTGGCGGGATCACAGATGTTGCTGGGCCAGAGAGCCCGGGCACCTGGGAGTGTGAGCCAGTCAGAAATCCAGCAGTGGGGAGCTCCACCATTGGGACCAGTGAGCCCCATCACCAGGGAGCTGCAAGGCAGGGCAGCAGAGGGACTGGTGAGCCCCATCCCCTGAGAGCCCCAGCATGGCACAGCAGCAGCAGGGCAGCCACGGAGCCTCCTCCCCAGGAAGCTCTGTCCCTAGAGAGTCCCAGCTGGCTGGTAGCAATGGGCTGGAGCCAAGCCTAAGCCCTGTAGCAGCAGGGCCGGAGCCCAGTGGCAGTGGGGCTGGAGCGGAGCCAACCGGAGCCAGGAGCAGCATCCTGGGAGGCCAGTGGCGGGGGACCTCCCTTGATCCAGCAAATTCTCATTCGAGACTGGCCAGGAGGTTCAACCCATAGTTGGAGTTCCAAAACTGCAGAGGGCCCAGCTCTGCTAGCCATTCTGATGGTTCATAATGGCTTACTCATGCCAGTAATGTCTTTGAAATCCTTGGACTGCTTGTGTGAGTAAATTACAAGTCAAGGTGAATGAGGATGGCTGAATGGGATAGTAATTAAAACTAACCCTATCTAATTTTGTGAGAGCATCTCTTTAATGGCTAGTGCTGTAAGGCCAGATTCTGATCCCTTTACCTAGGCCTGGGCTGCAGCTAAAATTGAGATCAACATCATTATATTCTCAGGGATGTGAAAAATGTGTATGGCTCAGTGCCCACTGACACCATTGCTGTCGATGCAGCTAGGTAAATGGAATAATGCCTCTCCCTAGCTCTCCCCACTTGAGGAGATAGATGACTTAGAGCAATTGCAAAAAACCTCTTCCAGCCCTGTAGGCAACATCTGTACTATGGCACTCTAGTGCAGTGTTTCTTAAACTGTTCTGTGCGGCATACCAGTGTGCTGCGAGGCAGTCGGAGGTGTGCCGCAGAGAACAGCAGAGTTCAAAATGACCACTCTTAAAGGGGCAGGTACTTCTTTTCTCAACAAAAAATTCTTGGTGTTCCTCATTTTAAAAAAAATTGTTTGGTGATCCTCGGTCTTAAGTTTAAGAAACACTGCTCTAGTGTATACAAGCCCTCCTTTACAAATAATGCCACAGAATCCAGTGGAATTACTTGCAGAGTAAAGGGTGTTCTAAACTGAAAACAGTGCAGCAACCCTCGGCTCCCAGCAGCATGGGATTTCACATGGCTGTGCAGATTTCATGAACTGTGACATGTTTTTCATGTTTATGAAATCGGTAGCACCCTAGACATAGTTCTACCAACATCCTATCCTCTTGTAGATCGGGCTTTAGTTGCTATTCAGTCACAGAGAGGGTAACTTGGACTGAAAATTCTCAAAGGCAGGGGCTGTCTTTTTTTTTATTCTGTGTGTATAATGCCTAGCACAACCTCGTGTTCCCAGGTCCTATGTTAATGCAGATGATGACAATGCAGCAAGTAATGAAGGTGGGGTGTGCACTGGCTTACCTATAACACAGATGCATTTGAGCTTCCCCCCACCCGTATGTCTCGGGTTGCCAACCATCTAAGCAAGAAGAGACCCAAGAGAGGGAGTGGAAGGTGGAGGAGGGTTTTTCAGAGCTTTCATGTGGTTCCCAGTGCAACGCAAACCGTTTTCTCTGTCTGCACATAATCAGAACAGCTGCTTTTCTCTGGAGTCTGTTTTTTGGGCTGGGTGCATACAGAGTGGCAGTGCAGAAACACATGCATTGTTGAACGAATGGTTCACATCTGAAGTAGGAAAACAACTAAACCATTTAAAAGCGCACACACCAGTACTCTAAAAATTCCTCCAAAATTGGTTACCAGAGACACAGGGATACATCCTGGGGCAATTGCCCCCTTACCCCACCCTGTTTGTGGGCCTGTGTATGGCCTGTACATGTATATGAGCAGCTGAGTCACAGCACTAGCTTTCCTCTTTGTAGTGCCTCAGGGAAACATACAGAATGAAGTTATTCCATAAAAAACAGTTGTGGCTCATCACACATTCAGTAACTCCCTTAACGTACCAGGAGCCCCAGCTCTGAGACAAACTTTGGATCGTGTGTCTCAGGTGGACAGGAAGGAACATGGCCTGTCTTCAGGCTCAGGTTGGTTCTAGAGGATGGTCTTTCTGGTCCCCCTTCAGCTGCAGGTGCTTCTAGATGGATACCGTGGGCTTGTCACAAGGCACGTGACAAGCCAGGATGTGACATTACAGTGATTCTGCTCCTGCACGTTTAAAAAAAAAAATCCTTACTCTGTCCTGGGGGAATCCTGCAATGGTTGCAGTTTTATTCCAAATGCAGAATTCCCCCAGGACTGCTTACTGCTCTTGGAAATGGGAGTGTGTCCCAGCGCATCATGGAAGATCACTGGTCTCTGGCAGCAGGGTCCTCACAGCCAGCTAGTGTGCTGCAGGTTCACATTCCAGCTTGCTGTGCGCTAACCTGCCATGGAGACAAGCCTTATGCGTAGCAATTTAAAATAAGCGCAGAGGATGAAATGCTGGGAAACGCTCTGCATTTCATGGACTTACGGTTGGTGCTGCTATAACCTACGGACCTTCTGCATGAGGTGCACTATCCCATCTAGTTGCAGAGGCAACTTAGAGAGAAGAATGAGTCTGCTTTACAGTCTTAGCTACCAGCCAGCTGGCTTTTAGCATATCCAGTAGAGCTCCGCACTAAGCTCCAGCGATCCCCAGTTCAATCCCACCTGTTGCTGTTTCACTGTATGAAATAAAACTTTAGAGATAAGCAAAGAGATGGGCTGAGCTGGGTGAAGCACCAGGACTAGAACCGCTGTACAATGCTGCCCAGCCTTTTTAATGTGATTTCTCACCTTGGCCCAATGAGTTTCCTGGCTGGTTGCAGATCCAAACTAGCCTTCATCTTACACAGCATCCAGCAGGGGCCGTCTGAGCCAAGTGCAGATTCCAAATGCAAACTATCAGAAATCTGGTGTTTGGGGTTTGAATGGCTGCATGTAGAAGATAATACAGTAAGTCAGCACAAGCTGCAAACTTCCTGCCTAACCCATCAATTAATGATGCATGACAGGCAATATTAGGATGTGTTAAAACCCTAGTAGATTGGGACAGATAACCACTGTCTACCCTTTCTGACGAGATAGTGGTAGATTACTGCGTTTGCCATGCATGGGTTAGGAGTATTTTACCTTTAAATCTTAAGCTGAGACTGAAATTGTCCAAAGAAGGGCCACAAAGACAGCGGAAAGCCTGAGTGAGGCAGGCATGTGAGGAGAAACCACACATAAGAAATGTATTTTGCTTGGGAAGAAAATGTTGGAGGATCTTTGAGGGAGCCCTATAAAATTCGGAGTGGAATCGTGAGCTCCAGTTACCCTGCGGTGCATGTTTGTGCAGACCTGTCAATAAGGGAGCCCAGGTGATTTAAAAGGGCCAGCAGCACAGCAGAGGTCAGGGAAGGAGGCTAAGGTAGGCTTCCTGCCTGTCCAAGCTCTACATGGCTCACAGAAGTTGCCAACACACCCCGGGGGCTCCTGTGGGGCTCAGGGTGCCTCCATGTGCTGCTCCCACACCGAGCACCAACACTGCAACTCATGTTGGCCAGGAACTGCAGCCAGTGGGATCTGTGGGGGCCTCCTCATTCCCTCCCTCACCTCAACCCCCTGGTCCAGCCCAGAACCGCACCTAAACTTCTTCCCAGAGCCTGATCCCTTATCCCCCCCAATCACTGCCTAGAGCCCACACCCTGAACCAAGACTCCCACACCCTGAACCGTGTGTGTGTGAGAGAGAGTGAGCAGCAGAGGGAGGAGGGATAGAGTGAGTGGGGCTTTGGAGAAGGGCGGGACAGGGAGTTGTAGCCTCAGAGAAGGGGTGGAGTAAGGGTCAGGGCAAGATTCTTAGAGTTCCCAACTGTCTCATTGTGCAAACCCAACCAGGCAAGCATGTGAAAGCCCTAGCTCTACCAGAAGAGCACTGCCAGCACAGTGAAGGTACAGCTGTGCCCAAGTGTCAGGCGGACTGCGTCTGGGCAGGTGTGGGTTGTGGCTGCATGGAGGGTCTATTGACTGTTCTGCCTGGGGGCCCAGCATTGCTATTTGCAGGCCTGTATTTGTACGCTTAAGCCCCTTCGCTGTAATAAATGAGCAAGACAGCATGTGTAAAAGAAATGACAGGAATGACTTCTGTGCAACCTATAGTCACCCACTGGAATTCACTGGGCAGAAGCCACAGACTCCGTCGCTGGTGGTGAATTTTAAAAGGCTGGATAATTTCAATAACATCTGCAGTTGAGCAGTGCAAGATAATCAGTGTTAAGCAAATCTCACACATTGCGTCATAAGCATTGGTTTATGAAATAATGAAACACTGCAAAAGCCAGGAAGGCAAAACTTCTCCATGCAGACCCTTTGCCCAACTGATCAAGTGCGCTAGGAGTTTCTTTTTTCAGGTTCCTTTGCTATGCTCATTGGTGCAGAGGGATATATAAAGAGTGTGCACGCACACAATTTGCTTTCTTCTGGATCAGGTATTGGCCACTGCTTTCTGGTTTAGATGGAGCAAGAGCAAGATTTGTCATACCAGATCAGGCCTCTTTAATAGAGAATAAAACCAAAATTAAAATCTGTAAATAATAAATAGCTCTTGCATGGTCAAAAGCATAATATAAGAGTACTTCACAATGTTTAATGTATTTCTCTTCATAATGCCTTTGGGACATAAGGCAATACTAGCATCACTATTATACAGATGGGTAAACTGAGTCATAGAGACTAAGTGACTTGCCCAAGGTCAGACATCAAGTCTGTGGCAGAGCAAGGAACAGGACCTGCGTCTCTTCAGTTTTGTGTTACTGCTCTTGCCACTGGATCATCCTTCCTCTCCTTGATAAAGCAGTGAACAGAATAAATGAATCTGGCAAGCTCAAGTTAAAATGAAAAACGCCAGATGTCCTACCCTTGCTTGTTGCTTTTGGAAACAGATTGTTTTTTGTTTTGTTTTTTTTCCCCTCAGCGTGTTTCTTCATCTAATAGACTTTTGCTTTATAACAAGTTACAGCTGTATAAATATTCTTGCTTTTTGTGATGTAAAGTGGTTGATTGACCTGTATTGGTCTTGGCCAGAGACAGGTCAGCATGGAAAGTACTCACAAATACTTTCAAATTATTCACATGTGGCATTGAATAAACAATATTCAAACCACCTGCCAGCTCTTGTAGGTGGCACCCTAAATCTTGTATGATAGACATATTTTCCCAGGCAGAATGGTGCATTTTTGAAACATTGTTTTCCATTCCTGACTTTACCCTTCTTTGGATGTTACATGCGAATGCAACATATCTACTTTGGTATTTGCTTTGTGTTTACCTTGTAGATGCAAATTTTGCTTGAGTCAACAACTCTCACATTATATTGTGTTCTTCCTTGTGCACCTGAATTCCCAAAAGATTCATTATTTTCCCCAAAGCACTGATGATTGTTTTTGCAATTCAGATTGCAAGCATGAGGTCAGAATTAATTATGGTGAACGGGTAGCCTGTGGATAATCTAGCGGAGGTTATATAACTGCATCTGCTTTGGGTGGTGTCTTGCAAATCCTGACTCATTCATCCAGATGCACGCACCTACTGCAGTCAAAACAGGACCCTTCCCTGACTAGAGGTGACATTACTAATGAAAGTTTGTAGTGAATTGGAAAGACTGACAGTCCAACACTGGATTGTTTTGATCTGTGCGTGGTGTTAAAAACTGTTTCCAAAAGGAATAGCCTATAGTTCTAGCCACCGGAGGGCAGTGGTGCACTTTCCGACTAACTTATTTCCTGCACGTGTGGAAAGAGGATGACACAGAGGGACAAATATTGATGCAACACTATTGCGGGTCTGTCTGCATTCCCACCGCAGTGTGTGTGAAATCGCAGGTCAGATAGACACACGTGGGCTAGCTTTACTCAAGCTAGCTTGGTTGCCATTAGCAGTGAAGCCAGGGCAGCGCTGTGAGGTGAATACCAGGGTTCCAGGCAGGCCTGCATGTTAAGTGCATTCTACCTGTCTCTCCTCTACCTATACATCCTTTGACTGCAGCAGGTCTCAGCCACGGGTACACAGAGAGGGGTGTGCAGAGATCTTCCTGGGGTGCATCACCTCGGCTAGATCGTTGCCTAGTTTCACAACGGGCTGCGTAAAATCCACTAGCAAAGTGCGTACAAATTAAAATTTCACACAGACCATGACTTGTTTTCACCGCTCTATATGTTTTAGACTAGTGGCGGGCCACCTGCAGCCCACGGGCCACACGAGGCCCACTGGGTCCCGCCTGCCCCCTGCCCTGTCTGCCTCCTCCCCCACGCACAGGGCCGACTCGAGCCATTCCTGCGCCCTGGGCAGCGGGCACATGACGCATGCGTGGCTCCGCCCCGATGCATGTGTGGCTCCGCCCCAGCGCATGCGCAGCCCTGCCCCCTGGTGCGCTGCACAACTTACAGCTGCAATCAGGCGCGTGGCCCCTAATTGCAGCTCTAAGGGGCGCCCCTTGCCCCTGGGCGCGCGGCACCCCTTACAGCTGCGATCAGGCACCCCCCCCCCCCCTTAATCCGGCCCTGCCCATGCACGTCTCCTGTGCAGGGCTCCAGTGTCCCAAGTGCTTCCTACTCCTCTTCCTGTACTTTAGAGCACCTGATTTGTGCTTTGTCCCCACTCCTCTCCCGCCCTCCCTGGGGCTTGAACAGCTGCAAATCAGCTGTTTGCAGCTCTGGGAGGGAGGGTGGAGGCGTAGGAAGTGTGGGGTCCAGTACATGAGAAGCGCATGAGGGAGGGAGGCAAGCAGGGGGTCTGCAGGCTGCTTCAGCCCTCTGAGATGAAGAGCCATTCATGAGGCCCACTTGCTGTTCTTGGTTGCCCATCGCTGTTTTAGATGGACATGTAAATACAGCATTTGTATTCCAGTTGATTTATTTTATGATCATACGGTAATCTTGTGCTATGACCATTTTTTGTATTTTTTTTTTTTTTTGGTCTGATTTTTATAAGCAAGTAGTTTTAAGTGAGGTGAGTCTTGGAGAACGCAAGACCAGTTGGATCCCTGGAAAGGGGTACAGCATTCTGGGAAAGGTTGAGAGCTGCGGGTGGAGACATTCCAGGGGTGGGGAACCTTTTTTGGGTCGGGGGCCACAGACCCACTGAAGTCCGCACACAAGTGAGAAGCAAAAAAAAAAAGAAAAAACAAATCCTCACTGACGTGGTCAGAAAGATATTCCCCACGTACGGCAGAGTGTAGGGGGAATTAGGCTAGTAGATTTTGTGTGTTCCAGCCCTGCAGGGGAGCGGCAGGGACTGGAGCACCAGTGCAGGCTCCCCAATGCTGAGATGGGGGACCCATGAGCCCAGGGGCCGGATCCTTCCTCCCGGGCCTTAGGTTCCCCACCCCTGCTTTAAAGGCGTGTTTACATTTGAATGTTAATTCACACAAAGGGAAGAGGGGAATTTTAAGTGCAATACCTATTCTAAAATAATTCCAGGTTTAGACAGGCTCTATTAATTGTGCTTAAGAATGGTCGTTTTCAGGAGGTAGCTGCATCCTTTACCAAACCTTCATGGTACAATCTAACAATGCACTGAAATTGTAACAGTTGTCCAGTAATATAGCTGCAAGAGAACCAAATCTTTGGTTTTATGGTAGCGATAACAGAGCTGCTTCTAATATGTTCCCTTTGTATCTGACAGATTGACCAAAAACAGTTTGATAAAATTTTGGAGCTGATAGAAAGCGGGAAGAAAGAAGGTGCCAAACTGGAGTGTGGGGGTTTAGCCACCGGAGACCGAGGCTTGTTCATAAAACCCACGGTGTTTTCGGAAGTTACTGACAACATGCGAATTGCCAAAGAAGAGGTACAGTTACTCACTGGAAGGTTTAGATTTTTGTCACAAATAGCCACCAAAGTACAGTATTTCAGCAATGCTTTTCCTGTGTTACTTTCAGCCACAGTCCTGCTGATTTCAGAGGGGTTTTTTTTCAGACATGATTTTAGATTTTAGCCAAGGATGATTTTTAGCAAAAGGAACTACTGAAACTACTGCAGAATTTATTAAGTCGACAGCACCCTAAAGCTGCCTGGTGCAAAAATGTATTTCTGACACATTGGTCCTAGGGCTATGTCTGAGGTTTATTTAAAAAAATATGACTAATAACCGGAAGTAGAAGTTAATAGGAGGAGGGAGAGGAGGGGTACTGTCAAAGTCATTAGACCCGAAGTGTAAGCCCCTGATTTTTTTTTTTTTTTATCTGTTTGCATAATACATATAATTCCTGGTTGTTCCCCATCTCCCTTCAAAAAACAAATGCTTTGTTGCCCTTTTTCACAATTAAGACCCAGAAGCACAGTGCTCATGAGCACCCTACAGTAACATATCTGTGTGTATTAACACAATGGAAACTTCGATTGTAAGCATTCAGGCCCTTATCCAGGAAAGCTTCTTAAGCCTCCGTTAAAGTCAGTGGCACTTAAGCATGTTTAAATTTAAGCACATGCTGCCACAATACAGTATTTCAACAATGCTTTTCCTGTGTTACCGTGATGGTTATCAGGGTTTCATGCTGTTGCTATGGTCATTGTTACTGAAAAATTAACCATTTTTAATGGAAGGGCATTGATAGTGTTTTTCTGGCTTGCAATTGGAGCAAATACATGCTTGAAGTTTTGCAAGTTAGAGAAATTCCTCGCCTGCCTGCTCTCTTTTTATGATTAGAAAATTCTAATTTTCCATCTAAATCCACAGTTACACATCTGCTCAGCCCGCTAGGTATCATATGTACCATGTGCTTTTTGTTTCCCCTACTGGATGGAATTAGAACTGGTCAATTGGTGAGTGACAGGGTGTATACCTCTCAAAGACAGAAGTTCCGCTTGCTCCAGGAATATGCCTCCCGTGCTATTAGGTATGATGATCTTAGGTTCTTTACCCCACGGTCATTATAAAGTCCTGAGCAGCTGTAGTGAAACCCTGACACTGGAACTCATGGACAAGTTAGACTATTCCACTAACCTACAAACTGGGTGAGCGCAATAATTACAGATGTCAGTGCTATTTTTCTCTTACCAATATGCTTTTCTCTGCTGCTCAGTCACACTAGTGTCCTAATACAGGGAAAACCAGCATTGTAAATCAGCCATCTGGTTTTCAGTCTGTAATATCAAGCAAACTGAAACATGTGGCACAGGATTCGACTGAGGTGCCTCTTTGAAACAGTGTTAGCAAATTCATTTCCCCTGGGGGAGTGAAAAAGGAATTAAGTGGCTGCCAAGGTCCCACTGACACTGATGTCGTAGAATTTAGCCTAGACCTTTATATGGGATCACTTACTTTCTATGCCAGGAGTGTACAGTATCATCTTGATATGCCAGAGCTGCCATGCAGCCTGAGGAACCTGGAAAGTTCTCAGTCTGCCTGGGGATGAATTATGTCCTAAAAATAGAGGAAAATAAGAAGTGAGCAGACAATTCCATGACAAACCCCCTTCAACTGAGTTGCTTTCAACACGCAAACTCGTGATTCATGGGGCTTCTCCTGTTTCTTTCATTTGCAGTTTTGCTGCAAGTCCTGCTACTCTGTTTGCTACCAAGAGTTCATTGAGAACATTGATCTATGGGTGCATTTTTCCATTTCATCAGTGGACTACCACCCTGGACTACTGCGGTGGGCAAAAAGGCCTCCGCCAGCTGGATCTGGCCCACCAAGCAGGTTGATCCGGCCCGTGGGTGCCCTGCCGCTCCCCCACCCCATGGCCATTTAGGACCTGTGGGCATGGGAACGCATGAAACTTCCTCCCGCCTTGCGAGTAGTACGCTGCTCTTCAAAGTGCCCGCCCCCAAGCTCTGATTGGCCTAGGGGCGGGGGAGCAGCGCGAAGTTTCCTCCGTCCTCCTCCCCTCCACCCCGCAAGGAGCGCATGGTACTGTGTGCTCCTCTCAAGATGGGGTAGTGCGGGAGGAGGCTTCGGGTGCTCCCCTGCCCCCAGGCCAATCAGGGCCTGGGGGGCAGGGGAGCACTCAAAGCCTCCTCCTGCCCTGCGAGGAACATGTGGTACTTTGAAGTGCCGCACGCTTCCTTGCAGGGTGGGGGAAGGGCGAAGGAAGCGTGCGGCACTTGAAGGAAGCGTGCAAATGAATCATGGCCTGTGGGAGGGGAAGCCCAGAAGCATCTTGGCCCTGCCCCTTCCGGTTTAGGCCCCACCTTGTCTGGGCAGCCCGGGGGCACTTCACAAATTTTTGAAGTGGCCCCCTGTCAAAAATTATTATCCACCCCTCTGTAATAGTATATGATCATCCATCCACACACACAAGTGTCTGGGCATTGCATCTGTATTGTTCTTTGTAAGAAACTTCAGTCATCTTGTGCTCTTCTGTGGATGCACATGGTCAATATACAAGCCAAGTTATGCACATGCACCTGCAGAGCAAGTGCATGCCAAAGTGGTGGGCAGCCACTTGTGCGTGCAAAATCAGCTGCGTATATCAGCAGAGGTGTAGAAAAACAGAGGCTGTAGAAAGCCTGGGTGAAATGTATGTAAATAATAGGGTTGCCAGATACTTTCACAAAAAATCCCGAACATGGCAGGTGAAAAAAATTGGTCGGGGGGGATCACTGTGCCTTTAAGTCTCCCCGCTCTCCCCGCCAGACGTGGCAGGGGAAAAATGTCCCCGCCAGCCTTCCATCCGAGAGAAACAGAAAATACCGGACATTTAATATGTTCAGTATTTTCTGCTTTTCTTTACCAGACAGGGGCCGCAAAAACCGGACACTTGGGAACCCTAATACATGATATATTTTAACTATAAAAAATCCCTCTTGAGCCCATAGAGAGTTAGAGTTCTGAATGGAGAAAAAAATGAACCATTCCAGAACTAATTCTTTGCCCACTTTAACTAGATAACTTTGCTCATGTAGATTAAAGATTTTGCTCATGTAATCTTTGGAGCTTTGCATATGTCTACTTCTGTTGTACCTAACTTTACCAATGGAATTGGGTTCAGGACCAGCAAGATCAGGTCCATCATACAGACTGAAAACATTAAAACTCCAGCACTGAAGAAGACCATATAATATTTCTAAGTTTTTAATTTTTCAGAATACTCCCTGTTCTTTGCAGAGTAAAGCCTGTTTAATTGCTTACAGATTTTTGGACCCGTGCAGTCAATAATGAAGTTCAAAAGTATAGAAGAAGTCATAAAAAGAGCAAATAACACGGAATATGGACTCACAGCAGCAGTGTTCACAAGGAATCTGGACAGAGCTCTGACATTAGCTTCTGCACTGGAGTCTGGAACAGTCTGGTAAATGTTTCCGTCTATGGGATTGCAATATACAGAGGGTGTTTACAATATGTCTGAGGCCTGGTGTCCAGTAGCACTGACGCTGTGCTCCCTTCCTCTTGAAATGTTGACCTAAGAAGCAATAGCCATTGCTCAAAATGGGATGGTGAGAGCGAAATGTATTTTACAGAAACCAAACTATTTTAGTTCCCACCTGTTTGAAAAATAATCTCTCCTGTGAAAACCCCAACAGCATACGCTGCCTTATCAGATAACATGGCTTAGAAAAAACCTGTTGGGATGTTTTCTATTATGTGGTTACTCTGTACCGTCTCGAGCTATAAACAGATCCATCTGGACAGTAGATGGCACCATGTCACTGTTTTAAAAAAGGGCAAATCTTTTTTTATTTATAAACAAACCTTTGTATTTTTCCACAATTTTACTATCTCTGCCGGGAGGGGTTTTTTTTTCTTCGTCTGTAAGGATATTTTCTCAAAAAAATAGGCCTTTGGTTCTGAGGAAGGCATCCACCTCATCTATGCATGTGATACTACCGTTCTGTCTGTTGCAGCTGGCCAAATCCTGCTCACCTTCCTCAGGTACTGAAGTCAAGGGATCAGGATTTGAGTCCTCAATCTCACCACAGCTAGTGTCTTACAGGAGTAGGATCTTAGAAGAGATAGTGTAACATATACTAACCGGTGGGTTAAACACAGAAGTGAAAGTAAGTAGATGAGCCCTGGTATGCAGCTCCAGCAAGAGCTAGCTGAGCTATGGCAAAAGCCAGCAGGGAGCTATTTCAAGAGCAAGTAGGGACCCGGGTTGCAATAGGACAGTACCACTGGTTAAACTAGCAATTTCTTCTCTTTCCCATAGCACACATGTCTGATACAGCTGTGTTCCTACACCCACCACTGCTGGAGGGTCTGCTGTACTCTGGATCCTAACAAAGCAGTTGCAGCTGAGGCAGGCATGTTGAGACAAGGAAATAGGTTCTGGTTTTTTAAAATGTGTTTTAAAATGAGACTTTGAACCTATCATAGACACGGTTTAACATGTTTACATACGTGTTAGCTGATCCTGGCTGGAAAATAGAAAAAAGGACCAATCTTTGTAGAAAATGATGGTTTCTCAAATATGTATTTTTCTTGAAAAGATAAAATCAAACTCTGTGGCTGAAATTGACCAAACTGTAGTGAATAAAACACTTGGGGAAGTCTATAAAGGAAAGAAACAGGCGTCTATTGGACAACTCAGGAATATTAATAAACATGCATATATTTCTTAACATTTTCCAACTGTTTAATTTGATAAAAAATGTGTTTGATTATAGGATCAACTGCTACAATGCCCTTTATGCACAAGCTCCTTTTGGTGGCTTTAAGATGTCAGGAAATGGCAGAGAACTGTAAGTTGCTTTTTTGCTCAGTTCTGTTTTCTCGTTAGAAAATTAAATGTGATATTGGAAGTGTGATGACTTAGGATTTCATCGAGCTTGCCATGAACTACTAGCACCTAACACCTCTACATAGTCATTTACACCAGTGCAATGTATCCTAGAGTTTGAGGCCAGAAGGGAGGGGCCACCAAATCAGTCTGACTGCCTGTGTATCAGATTCCTCCAACCTCTGCACATTAAACCCAGCAACTGAAATGAGACCAAAGTATTACAGCCCGCAGGAGACTAGACTGTTGTGCGACAGGTGAGACTGAGGGACAGGAGAGGCCAAGGCCCCTGGACAGTCAGGGAAATGATTGAGGGGAAGAGGGTATAAACACTTCCATTGTGATTTATTGGTGTGAACAGTGCCTTTAGAATCTGCGAATCTGTCTCACCCTCTGTACCAGTCATCCACTCAGTGCACTCTGTCCTAAATCTGTTTTTCAAAACTTGGCCACATAGCTCTTGTTCTAGGGTATTTCCTTGCCAGGTAAACATCAGACCAATGTTGTTGTATCATTAATTCCCCTTGCCTCGCCTGCTTGGGAAAGTGTTGGAGGGGATGGGTTCCTGTGGCCTGACAGAGTAAAAAAGAAAAGAATTCTGCCTCCCCCTTTCCACGTATTTTTAGTTACTGAATACAGGCAGTCCCCGGGCTACGTACAAGATAGGGACTGTAGGTTTGTTCTTAAGTTGAATTTGTATGTAAGTCGGAACTGGTACATATTGTAGGGGAAACTCTAGCCAAACATTTCTCCAGAGCTCAGTTTTATTCTCCCACACCTCACTTCCCTCAGTCCTTTATTCTCAAGCTGAGGTGTCTGCTGAGAAAAGCCGCTCCGCATCTCCCTGGTCTGCTGAGGAGGGGGGGGGGGGGGGGGCGCTAGCTTCGTGTCTCTCTGGTCTGCTAGGGGGAAGCAGCTAGTGTGGGGTTGCCTCACCCTGTTTGTAAGTAGGGATCCGATGTAAGTCGGATCCATGTAACCCAGGGACTGCCTGTACTGTATATGCAGTATATATGCTCCCACACAGAAGCTTATTTTATTCTAAGGATGAAGACAGCAAGTGTAATTTTAGTTACTGTCAACAAGGTTATAATGGAAGCCAACTGTGCACACAGTGCCTTTCCTTCTGCAAACTCCCCACATGCAACCTGAATTCCACCAAGCTGAGAACTGAGACATCTCTCTCGTCAATATGAGATGTTTTAACCATTGTACTAGTCTTGTATCAAAGCTTACAATTTATATATGACGTGTATTATGAGATGTGATGGGTCAGCTCTCCAGCTGGTGTAATTTAGTAGAGCACCATTGGTTTTGATGGACTTATGTTGATTTACAGCAACTGAAGATCTGGGCCTGTGTAGCTTATCGATAATGTAGTGATATTATTAAATAAGATGAGCTAGGTCAATGCGCTTGGTGAAAGCAGCTATTGTATGTAGATTACTATGATTAAAAAGGCACATTTTAAGCTTTTGTAACTGCTTTATTTTCTTTTTCAGTGGTGAATATGCTCTGGCAGAATATACTGAGGTGAAAACAGTCACCATTAAACTATCCCAGAAGAATCACTGAGAGAGTTGGAGGCCTAAAATATGCTGACACTCTGAATGTGACACACAGACTAGGAGGGCATGTTCCAAACATGGGGAAAGGACAGAAGGGGGAGAAAACAGCACTTCTTACAAAGAACACTTTTTAAAAAAATTTTATATAAACTTTGAATCGACTGGACTTTGAACGCTCGTCAATTACCTTTTGGAGACCGAATTTAATTGACATATCAGCTGTCCATACTGCACACTCATATGCTGCATTCAGTGGACAAGCCCTTGGCTTTACATCAGTCTCTTACCAGTGACCAAACTTCCAGTCACGCAGTGCTTTACAGAAATTTGTTTTTAATCAAACCGTGGCTTTAAAGGCAAAATCACCCCCAGTGCCATATTAGAAAGACCCAAGACATCACTAGCATGAATTGTTAAAAGACCTGTGGACTTTAGTTGATGTAAACTAACATAGCTTCATTGACTTCAGTGGCATTGCTCCTAAATAAGCCAATGTAACACATATTGGGGTTAAGAGAAGAATTAATCCTGGTGGGGGTAGGGGGACTTTATGTTTTTATGGACAGTTATGTAAAGCACTTTTATCTGAAAGAGTTGTCTTGGTCTCTCAATACACACACCTCCTCTATAATGGAGATATCATAGTCCCATTGATCTCAGTAGGGGCTTTTCCATCAAGTTCAGTGGGACTCCTGGGGTGGGGGAAGGAGAACTTTTGTACCCCTTCTATTGTGATGACCATACTCTATGCATACTGAAAACAAGTAATTGACTCGCTAACCTCTCTGGCTTCAGAAGAGCTCATACAGTGTATGATGAATCTTCACAAAGGCACTTTTCAAAAGACGATTTTGCACTGCATCTACAGTAATGACACCAGCGATCCTGCCAGTCTTGTAGCATGGTGTACACGCTGCAGAAAACACCCAGAGGATAGAAACCCAAACAGAAATCTTCCAAAAGAAACAGAAGGACAGAGAGACTGCAAGGTTTGCGTCTCACTTCTCCGCCATCGTTTTTTATCCCAACATGTGAATCTCATTTTGTTCAGCGAGAGCTGTTCTTTATTTGAGCAGGATTAGTAAACTCTCTAAGCCTCTCTTCTCCCCTTTCCCCCAGATGAACGTATCTTATCATAGATTTCTGAAAATATGCTATGAAAATCAAGTTGCCCCCAAACTGTTATGCAAAGTTTCAACGGTCTTCCTTTCATGGGCTGGATTACCAAGGGTCTATGTTGAGTGGAGGCCATTCTGCAACCACTGTAGGTGTGTCCCTGTCAGTTGAAGGCCCATGGTAGGAAAGGAAATTTGCAGTGGTATAGAATTTTTGCCACACTGGCAGGCCCCAAACTGATTTGAGGTGACTTGTGGCAAGGGTGGTTGGAAGATACTCTGATTCCACAGCCAGTTCCAGTGAGGCTCTCTGTAGAGAACCCTCAACAAAAACGGAAGCTGAGAAGAGGCAGGTGATAGGCAAATACCTCACTCAAGCATCATGGGAGCAAACTGACCTGAGGTCCATTACTCCTTTTGTGTCCCTACCTAGCATTGCTAAAGCAGGGAATGCCTGTTGACTTCATGGGAGTGCTGATCAGAGCCTTTTGTTGTCAAAGGGTGTTATGCAGGTGGCTACAGTCCAATGGATAATAAACTCCAGAAATTAGGGTTTAAAGTGCAAAGGCAGGTCTAATCTTTGTCTTGTGGGGCAAACAGCAAAGCTAGTGAATAACCCAATAACTTTCACCAGACATGCTCCTCCTGGAGAAGTAAGAATTTTTACCATACTAATAGATGAGGAGTATGGAGGAAGTTTGCATGTGGCTGAACTCCCTTGTTAGTCATTGAATTATGAGAGAAATGGGGATTCTGTGCTCCTTAATCTCGGATCACTCATAAATAACATATCACTGACAGCTGTACACAACGGGTGGGGATGAGGCATCTGCTCTCCCATAGCTGTAGGAGGTGGGACTTCAGGAGGTGCATCTGCAGAAGATGCCCAGGAAAGTCCAAATGGGAAAACTGTAAATATATTTCTATTTTTGTAGTCCATTTAGAGAGAGATCTCAACTGTCTTATCAGACAAGCATTTTACTATTACCTACCTACTTACATTTTCTAGAGCTACAAAGAGATAATCTAGAGGCAAGGTATATAGTAAAATGAAGCTGGAATAATAATCGCCAATATAGCTTTCTGTATTTTTTGTTTGATTAAACTGCTCGGGGGCAGGGAGGAGGGAGATGAAAACGTGACATCTGAAATGTACAATCTGTTTTAGCATTTGTAATTTCACCTTTTTTTTGTTTTTCCTCTCAAGTTAAACAAATGACTTAGTAATGTATTCTCTTACTGTATAAATCAGGGTTTGACTTTACACACTGAATTGTCTAAATTATATATCAAATAACATTAGCCACTAACATAAAATGACCAATTAAAAGGTTTATATTCTTTCATTGCACAGTAATACTTTTCATATGAAATACTACTTTAATTTTTTAAAATATATTTATGAATTAGAATACAGTTAATCTAATGTATTTTTATAGCTGAAGGTACATGGAAATGCTATATGTGTTTAAACCTCATGTATATATTTAGAATATGGGTATCTTTTTTGTAATGTTAACTTTTCTATTCTTAATAAAAATGTTTAACATTTTGTGGTATAGTTTTTATGTGTGTCAGATGAGATCTTGTCCACTAAAAGTGTGGGGGAAAATCCTTCTGCCTTTACTCAAGTGAGTAATCATGTGGCTTCCCTTACTTGACACAACTAGAAAATCCAGGGACAGATGGGGATACCTGTACTCACATTGAATAGTTGTTTTCTGTTGTCTCATTGAGCTCAATGATAATACTCTGAATAAAGATCTCTATGGTGTGAGAATATCACACTGTAGTACTGATGAATAATTTAAATTTTTTTAATACTACTACATATTAAAGCTCCATGCTTTTTAAAAAGAAAATTATAGCATGGTTTAATTACAAGCCATATTTCATGGTTTAATCACACCAGTAATTCAAAGATTACTTTGAAATCTGCTCTGAATAAATTATATATGTCTCTATTTAGTTTAAATAAAATCTGGGGACTTTTCATCCAGCAGGAGTGTCTGTTAATCCAATCCAAAGAATACCTGTCTGTTTGATCAGTCACTCTGTCCTTAGCTCTCCTCTACGTGGTAATAGGATCTGTAACCTACAAAGCCTTTATCAGAATACATATTGAACCACTAAATAATTTGGCTCCCCTGTTGTGCCTACATGTGGCAATGGAGGAATGAGAGTATTAAATTAGGATGCCCATGCTTCCATGGGTTCAAGTTGACACTTGTATTCTCCCCTCTCTCTTCTCCTCTCCCCTCCCTGCCACTGCTCCATATGGACAGACTCCTTGCTTCCCTACATGTCAGAAGGGTTGTGGGCTGATTCATTTGTGTCTGAAGTGTCTCTTGTGAGAGGTGCCATAGAAAGTAAAAAGAATCACTTTTCTGTAAATGATAAATTGCAGTCCCTTACAAGTGCCACTATGGTGGCAGATGATTAAGGTTTTGGGCAAGTTAAAGGGAAACTGTTGGAGATAGAGGAATGTAGCCAAAAAGACTGCAGTATTATCTACTGCTTCTTTATATTAATGTAGGGTGGTTTTTAAAAATATTTGGCTAACCCTGTCTCTGTGCTGCAGCTTTCACAAAACCCATCATCTCTAATGGAAGGTTTACTGGGCTATGGTCAACTGTAAATGTAGGTCCCACTACATACTCCTAGCATCTGAGGAAGTGAGTTGTAGCTCACGAAAGCTTATACTCTAATACTCTAAATATCTGTTAGTGAAGTGCCATGGGACTCCCTGTCATTTTTGCTGAAACAGACTAACACAGCTACCTCTTTGAAACCTATATTCTCATTGTTGCTTTACCTTTTCTTAAAGGGGCAATGTCAAGCAGTTTAGGCCAAAACAGCAGGGCAGGTATATATATGTGGAACAGGAAAGCAGGAAGAATGGCTTGGAAGAGCTTTGTTTTATCAGGCATCTACTACCTAGTGGATGACAGGAAAAATATAACCACTGGCTCCCAAGCAGGCACCAGAGATAACACTGCAGTAGAGGGAACTGTTACAGAGTGATTTGATGGTTTTTTTTCTTCTGAGACTTGACCCTGGGCAGAGGGACTCTTGCATGTGGATCTTGGCTAGTAAGACTAGGTACTCTGGTTGTTAGCACTCCAGTTACCCAGAGCACTTAGACGGGGCTTATGTATTTGGCAACATTTCCAAGCCTTGTGAGTGCTGATTTATGCAAATGATTGGATGGGGTAGCGAGAGGTTGTGGAAGGAAGAAGAGTTGCCAGATGGGTTAAAAAAAATACTCGACAAAAATTTGATAAAAATGTGTCAAGCAAAAAAGAAAAAAACGGGAAAATTTGTTGAGCAAAAATGTTTTTAAAAAGCACCGGGGAGTAACCAGGGAGACCTGGATAGAAATGCAGTCACAGCCCCTTTAATTGCCATGTGTCCTGAGTGGCTTCCGTTGGGTGCTGAGCCAGGCCCAGGAAAAGCAGAAAAACTTCCTTAATTAGAAAATACCAGACATTTATGTGTCCAGTATTTTCTCAGTCTGTTTACTGGACTGACCAGTTCAATAATGGACACCTGGTGATTCTAGAAGGAAGCCCAAAGGAGAGAGGAGAAAGTAAAGACCACCATGTGGGGAATAAAGAGAACTGGTCCAGAAATAGGTTGAAATGTTCCCAAAAATAAAAACTTCCAGATAGCTCCAGTTGGGAAAGAATGATAAAGGAGGAAGAGGCAAAAGAAAGAGGAGATGAGCATTGAAGATAGCTCTAGTAAAGGGTTGAACTTATTCTATCTCTACACAGCGAAGAGGATAGAAAAATAGAACTAGAAGGAACCTCTTGAGGCCATCAAATCCAGTCCCCTGCACTCATGGCAGGACCTGCTAGACCAGGGGTGGGCAAAAGGGCCTCTGTGGGCCAGATTTGGCCTGCAAAGTGGGTGGATCCGGCCCACGGAGGCCCTGCTGCTCCCCTGCCCCCAAGCCAATTAGGCCCTGGGGGTGGGGGAGTGCCCAAATCCTTTTCCGCTATGCCCTCGCCCTGCAAGCAGTGTGCGGCACTACGTTCTGCTCGCAGGGCGGGGGTAGAGCGGAGAAGTCGTCACGTGCACCTCAGGTCTTAATTGTCTGGGGGCACGGGAGCACGCAAAGTCTCCTCCCGCCCTGCGAGTAGCACAGGGCGTTTCCTGTTTAGGCCCCGCCCCTTCCAGGGTGGTCCCAGGGCTACTTCACAAATTTTTGCATGAGTAAACATGCAGAATCTGTAAAAAATTATTGCCCGCCACTGCACTAGACTGTGCCTGACAGGAGTTTGTCTACTCTGCTCTTAAAAATCATCAATCATGGAGACTCTACAACATCCGTAAACTGTTTATTCCAGTGTAAAACCACCCTGACAGGAAGTTTTTCCTAATATCCAACCTATACCTCCCTTGTTGCAGTGTAATCCCATTGCTTCTTGGAGTTAAGGAGAATAAAGGCAGTCCCCGGGTTACGTACAAGATAGGGACTGTAGGTTTGTTCTTAAGTTGAATTTGTATGTAAGTCGGAACTGGTACATATTGTAGGGGAAACTCTAGCCAAACATTTCTCCAGAGCTCAGTTTTATTCTCCCACACCTCACTTCCCTCAATCCTTTATTCTCAAACTGAGGTGTCTGCTGAGAAAAGCCGCTCCACGTCTCCCTAGTCTGCTGGGGGGAAGCAGCTAGTGCGGGGTTGCCTCACCCCGTCTGTAAGTAGGGATCCGATGTAAGTCGGATCCATGTAACCCGGTGACTGCCTGTAATTTTTCTCACTCCTCCTTATAACCACCTTTTAGATACTTGAAAGCTGTTATGTCTCGCCTTATTCTTCTCTTTTTCAGACCAAACAAACCTATTTCTTTCAGTCTTCCTTCATATAGGCCATGTTTTCTAGATCTTTAGTTATTTTTGTTGCTCTTCTCTGAACTTTTCCAATATGTTTATCAGATTGATGTCCCTTTTGAGAGGCATGAGCTGGGCACAGTAATCCAGTTGAGGCCTAATCAGTGAGGAGCAGAGCAGAAGAACTGCGTCTTATACCTTGCTTATAACACTCCTGCTAATACATCCCAGAATAATGTTTGCTTTTTTTGCAACAGTGTTGCACTGCTGACTCATTTAGCTTGTATTGCCCCCTCAATCCTTATCTGCAATACTCCTGCCCAGACAGTTATTTCACATTTTGTATGTGTGCAATTGTTTGTTCCTTCCTAAGTGAAGTACTTTGCATTTGTCTTTATTGAATTTCATTCTATTTTACAGACCATTTCTCTAGTTTGTCCAGCTCATTTTGAATTACAGTCCTATCCTCCCTAGTTGAGAACTTGAAAGTGGAAGACAACTTGGGTGAAAGTGATCATGAAATAAGAATTAATGATTCAGAAAAGGTAGGAGGGAGAACAGCAAAATAAATGGTAAGAATGATAATGTCAGTAAAGTTTCAGTCCTAATCTGTAGTGACTCGACTCTTTTGTATTTTTATGATGTTGTGAGCAAGTCCTTGTTTCATGAGGCAAAACCTGGGAGTACACAAGACAAATCAGGCTCCTGAAAGGGGTATAGTAGTCTGGAAAAGCTGACAGCCACTGGTCTGCATTATCTTCTTACGTCTCCACCCCTACTGCCCAACACTCTCCTGCCTAACAAACTCCTACAGGCTGTGAACGCTGGCTCCTCCTCACTAGGGATGTGAGTAGTCTAGTTGACTACTCACTTCCCCCCACCCCTGCCTTGCTGCCTCTGTATCAGGAACCAGCTTAAAAATCGGTTCCCTCCAGCACCCTCTCCATGGGGCCACCTTTTCCCTCCCTCCCCCCGCCCTGCTGCCTCTATTAGAGGCAGCAGGTTGGGGGAAGGGCAGGGGAGGCTGCCGCAAAGTAGCCTTTGACCACCATGGGCCCAGGCTGGCCACAGGCAGAAACTAAGGATGTTAAGTAGCGAGTAAATTACTAATTGTGTACTCAATACAATTTGTATTGAGTATATGATTAGTTGATAAAGGGCCACTGCAGCTCTGCAGTTAAAATGTAGGAGCCGGGTGTGCAGGCAGCCTGGCTCCTACTACATTTAAACAGCAGAGCCGTAGCAAGTAGGTCTGGGACCTAGTGTGAGCCAGAACTGAGGAAGCCTTCCCTTATCGACTAATCCTGTAGTTGATTAAAAATGTTATTAACTACATGATTGGTGGATTACCCACCTCTTAACATCCTTACTCCTCACACCCCTTCCACACCCTTCACCTAGCCCTCCCCCTCCCTTCAGCTCTCCTCTGGCCTTTCCCCACACCCCCCTCTCTCCTCCTCCTCCTCCTGCCAGTTCTCTTCTCACCTACTTCCATAGCACTCACCCACCCCCTCTCATTTCTCTTCCCCCCTCCCCTGTCCTCCCTCCTATTTCTCCTTCCCATCCCCATTCTCCCTCTCCTCTCACATTTCCACCCACAGTCCCCTTTCTCTTCTCCTCTCCTCACTCCTTCACCCTTCCCCTCTCCCCTTACACCCCTGCTCTCTCATCCCCTCCCCTTCTCCCATTTCACCTCCCCATCCTCACTCCCCTTTTTCCTCCCCTCACACACCCCATTGTCATCCCCTCCCCCCTCACCTCGATTTCTCCTCCCCATCATTATCTTCCTCCTCCCCTCACTCTTTCACCCTTCCTCTCCCCCACACACCCCATTGTCACCCCCACTCTCACCCATCTCTCCTCCCCCTCCCCCCCCCATGTCTCATCTCCCCTCTCCCTCCCCTCCCCTCCATTTCTCCTCCCCATCCCCATTTTCCTCTCCCTCACATTTCCACTCCGCCTTCTCCTCCCCTTCCCCTCACTTTCACCCTT